TATCATTGGCCGCCGCCGTCATCGAACGTCAGTAATTCTTCACGGTCTCATAATTGAGCACCGTCGAGATTTGATCAAAAGACAGGACCGGAGCCAGTGACTCGCGTGTCACCCCGTCCTTGGCCTCAGGCGATAAATATCGACGTCCGCAGCCCTGTCGTCGTGACTTCCTCATGGACCCGACGCACGCTCAGTGCGAGTCTGAAGAAGAGAGAAACACAGGGACCGCTCCTATAAGTGCCGTGGGGAAGAGGGGCATAAAAATGGAAAAATATTCTTAGCAACAGCTGGCCCGCACCTCAAGTCGCGGTGAAGCGGTCAGGTGGGACGGAGTCAGGGTAGCCCCTGCAGGAATAAATTCCAAAAAGGTCCGGAGTCCGAGGAGTATCTTTCACTGTTTCAGATCTTTGATTACGAGCGTATGACTTCACAAAGGCTGCTCTGACGCGAACTTGAGATTCTCATGGGACACATATAATGAGAGATGATTCGGAATGGACAAATTGCGTCACCACTGGACGATCCGTCGAGGATATGTGAACTATTCACCAACGCAGCCGCTGACTTTCGGCGGACGCTGTGAATCAGATTTCCGGTCGTTCCAAAGTAGTCATTCCGTGAAGCAAACTCTTTCGAGAATCCGGGAGTGTCCCGCATAGATCGGGCCGATTCCGCAGAATACTGATTGGAGTTCATCTTGGGGAAGAACCCGTGCTTAACACTGGGAGACTCGAAACGGGGACGAAAGACTTGCTCTCTTGAGTTGCTCCCAGGACAAAATAAACGACATATCCCCCAAATGGAAGATAGCAGGATAGTTTCAATGATAATCAGAGAGAAACGTATACCAAGGTTCAGCGGGCAGCGAGGTCACCCTAGAATCCAAGAAGGGTCGAGAACCGAGATCGCCGAATGCATCAATTCTGACAGAGCCCAGCGTAAATTCCGTCTTCTTCCCAGCGTATTAGCATCGGCTTTCGGTGATTCTTTCAACTAGAAGGGCGGTACATCCCGAGAGGGATGAGGAACGGTCGTGTATGGCCCTCGAGTGCTACCGTCAGCCCGGGTAATGTATGTTCCTGAAACGCTAGGTGTGGTCTGCTTTGTGTTTTGTGACGCTCATGCGCCTCCCTGACTAATCTCCGAACCGGCTCCGTTCGGGCGCAGAATTCTGTCTTCTGGCTCGGTCTTTCATTCTTCCACCCTGTCGTGTGTTGATGACTGTGGGACATCCGGTTGTCCTGTTCTCGCCAGAAGCGTATCATCAGTCCTCGCTCATCACCATCACTTATTTTCCGGAAGATAGAAGTCCCGGAGAACAGGGTGTTTGGCAGAATCTCGCTATACACAAAAAACGACTCCGCGCATGGCATCATCTCATTGCCAACTCGATCGAATGGCTCTCACTCGAAGACCTGCGACTGAATCCAGTCCATTCCCCCGGGCCCCGTATGATGGGATGCTTGATCCGACCAGAACTGTGCGGCCTCGAAAGAATCCCTATAAAGGGAGTTCGCTGCAAAACTCGTTCATGCATCCTTCGCCCCGCGATGTGAAGTCCTGAGCACACACACTCGACACCGGCGGTCCATGTCGTTCGGCGGGTTTGCCAAGCTCAATCCGCGGGACTCAGGACCCATGCCCGCCAGATGCCGAGTTTCGAAGAAAGATACAGAAGAGATAACATAAGTTAGCACTTCACTCTCATAAGCTAACAGGTGTACGGTCGCCTCAGCGAGGCGTATCGCCACCTTCTGTAGGAAGTCAGTCCATGTCGACAGGCGACACAGTCTCATGCTCGACACCTAATTCTCGCCTGCAAACGCATTCGATGGAATTCTCGGCTGTCCCCCGAGGAAAGCAGGTGTTTCATTGTCGAGTATGTGTGTCCATCGATAATCTCGAGATCAGAAGATTATTCGCTCCGATCAAGAATCCGCTCAAAACCCGTTCTACCGCACGGCCCAGCTTGCCCTTGATGCCTCCGCGAGTTCACTGACCGACTTTCCCCTCGCCAAGCAGGCAGTCCGCTCATCAAAGGCCCACTTTGCTCGAGTAGATCGAAGTTTGATGAAACCGTGGATCCAGCAACGTCCGCGGGGATTCTCGACAACGATCTTATCGTCTTCGGTTGCTCCCTCGGAACGCTATGTCGATCACTCATGTCTAAATCATGTTCAACAATGTTGCTCGGTCTCCGTACGGAAAGTTCCGCGACAGGTTCAGTGGAGGGTTCATTCCACGAGTCTCGGAGGAATCGTCCGCTTCATCACCGGTAGGCAGCCACTGATGTTTCGCTCCTCTCGAGTTAGCAGAGGGGCTCGATCGGGACCCATGTGGGTCCCACGTACACAATTCGAGCCGAGTCTCCGGCTCGAAACCTTGGGTTCCTATAACGAATTATTCTATTCTTGGTTTGATCGTCCCGACTGTATCATCCTACGAAGGTTCGAGTGATACCGATACCTCCGGAGTTCACGTCGGGTTTTTTGCTGAGGGCATCGCTCGAAACTTCTCAAGGAAATGAAACAACACGGTATGGGCGCAAGAGCGAATCATTTCGGAAACGACCACATCTTATCCCGAATGCGCCCAAGGTGCTCCGATTAAGTTAACGACTCGCTATCGGACTAGTTTTTTTCTTTTCCTCGTCGAGGATTATATCCACCCAAGAGCGTTCTCTCCCGACTTTCTGCGTCGGCGCCGGTGAGGGCGCGGCACCCTTCTCCTCGTCCTATCCATGAACCGGAACACGGCGCTATGAGCTCCATCTGTTTCCATTATTCGGCTTCCTCTCTGCTCAATGAATGGGCTACGAAACGCTACTCGGGTTGCATAGCAGATCCGCGTATCCTATGGCAGATTGTTCAAGTCGGAGAATAACGAGATAAAAAATCTTGTTTGCAGAGCGTTCAAGCAGTTTCGGCGAAGCGACTTCTCCGCTCCGTGTACATACATTCCACAGATTCCGTGACTTTCATTCACTGGTACCTGGCATTCTTCACGTCAATAGACCACGCACCCTCGTTCCTGGTCGGAATTGCGCAGCCTCTCGCTTCGCGCCGGGACTCCTCATCTCCGCTCTTGGAAAACTTTTTCTTCTGCCTTCCGCTCTACTTCCGTCGGTCCGAATCCCGAGCTCTGAACTCCTTGTTCGTTTGGTCGGTCGGTCGGTCGCTCACAGCGCTGGTCCTTAATTATCTCCGTCGGGAAGTCCTAGCGTCCCGCGACTTCTCCCAAGGTGAGAGGAACAGTTCAAGTTAGGTTATACACGGGTTCTGCCGGGTTTACCGTCCGAGATAGACACATACGCTCATGAATGGGATTCCCGAATAAATTCCCGCGACAGGCGCTCGAGTTTCTCTTCGGTGGGAACTCCTCAAATATCCCTCTCTCTCCCTCTCTCGCGGTCTCTTGATTACGCTCTTCCTGCTCCGACTGCAAGCGCCCTGATATCCATGACTCGGACGTCAACACAGACCAGGCGAACACCAAAAGCATTTCGGAGCGGACCCGCGCTTTATTAGGTTAGCTTTGCACTCTGACTCAACGGAAAGCGGCTCTGGGGTGGAGAGAAGGGAACTTAGAAGAAAACCATGGCGCTCGTTTCCTACAGAGCTTCTACATTAGCTGTTCCGCATCGTGTGCGATTACACCGGATACCTGTTCAGGGCGAGACCGACCGGACCGAAATCCGGCTCGCAGAAAACAATACCGATCTGCTGATCTTGTATTTTTATTGAGGAGAGAGGAATCCTAATTGATTATTATTATCGCGACGCTCAATGTCGAACGTGATCTCCCTCGAGGGAGCTCTTGCACCTCTAGCGAGCTTCCTCCACTGCATATCAACACGCTATGATACGCAAGCCAGCTCGTCCCCTGAATCAACTGATTAAGAGAGAGCGCCGCGACGCAGCACAAAAAAAACAGGAATGGATTCTCACATGTCCCGAGCATGCTTCAACAGCGGCGTAATGGAAGCATCAATGCGTGGTCGATTCGCGATCATAGCCAATGAGCGTGTCGAAACCGCGATCGCGTAATGTCGTACGTGTCCCTTTCGGTCGGCCATGACGGCTGGAGCACCGCTCGAAGCAAGCGCCCTCGGAGATGACCCCTCGGACCCTCGGAGGGACATTCACTCGGGAGAGGGACATTCGCCGAAACCTTTCCCAACGAGGCCGCTCCATCATTCGTGTTCTCTGTATTAGGATATCTTCCATTTGAGGTTTCCGGGTCGCTACTGAAATGGAATAGTAGTGCGATGCATCGCCAAGCCGTCGCCCGCTCCAAAATAAGAATTCTCGCGAATCGTCTTTCTCCATCCAAAGTTTGCTTATGCGGATGCGATATTTCCCCATCGTTCCGTTCCTCGTGCTCTCAGACGGTGAACTCGAACCCAGAGCTCTCCGAACCGGAATGACTCGCACCCGAGACCGCGAAAGACTGATGAAGTTCTCGGTCTCGGTCAAATTTCCCCAACAATGCGGGGGATTAGTCCGAGACATTTGTTGGGAGAACCAGCGAGTCGAAAAAAAATTCCAGTTCCCAGCCGTCGCTCGGCTCTACCCCGGCGGTCGATCAGACGGACGGACGGACAGCTTGCTTGTTATCTTGAGACTCGGTATACGTGAGCGCGCATCTTGTCCGCGTCGGATTTCTCGACTCATAACAACCACGACGACGCTCCATGATTCCGCATCCGCGACTCGCTCAAGCAGGCGCGATCGGGTTCTAGACACGAGGCTGGCAGGGAAAATAGCGTTTAAGCGACTTTTCATTATGTTCCTTCTAGACCGAACGCCATAAACTTCCCCAGGGCCTCAAACGTCCGAACCGCGGCAAACGGCTCTCGGCGACTCCGGTCGATTCGACTCGTTATAAATGATTTCGCGCGCCAGCCGCAACCTTTTACAGCTTTTGTCACGCATACGGGATATAGCCGCAGCTTTCCCGATGGGATATAAATACCGGGATCGAGTGAGAACGCTGCTCATCTGCCGGCACAAAAGCCAGTCGACGCCATGCTGTGGATCATTCTGGGAGCTGCCGCCTTGGCCGGCCTTTCAACTTCTCAACTGTGCACGGACAATGTGCGGAGATTCTGCGGGACGAGCCCCGCGACGGCTTGTATGAATGACCGTTGCTCGATAGCGGAATCGAGCGAGTTCGATGATAGCTTCAGGCGGCAGATCGTCGATGCTCACAACCAATACCGCCGAGAACCATTCAACGGCCAGGATGCGACGAACATGCTCGAGATCAGCTGGGACGATGAACTCGCGCGGACTGCATTGAACTGGGCGCATCAGCTGTGTATCGCGGACAACGTTTTCGGTCCTGGCCATGACAGATGCAGGGTGACTCCGTCCTACAGCAGCGTCGGACAGAACATGGCTTGGGGCGCAGGCGGATCGTGGGGGTTGAGCTCGGTGCTCGCGAACAAGACCGTCGACATGTGGTACTCGGAGCATAAGCTGGCGACGAGCGCTGACCTGTTCCCTTTCGGCGCGAAGATGGCCATCGGCCACTATACTCAGCTGATTTGGGCTCGGAGCCACAAGATCGGATGTGCTTACATCGTCAGAACTCATCCGTACGGAAAACAGTCCTGGATTATCTGCAACTACGCCAAATCCGGGAATCGTGTGGGACAAGACGTTTTCGAAAGGGGGACACAGGGCTCGAACTGTCCCTCCGGTTCGACGCGAGACTCCACGGGGCTGTGTCGAGTTTCGAACGATGCCCAACTGCGAAGTGCGCTCGGAATTCAAGAGCCCTGAGTGTCAATAATTTCCTATCCTCCAAACAATTATTGTGTAAAATTCTCCTATTCATATCTCCCGCCTTTGTGTACTTGTGAACGATCTCACTCTCTCTTGAAGAGACACCACATGCACATTTTCAATAAAGCATTCGAGTGAAAGTCGCGCTCAGTGCAGGTCGAATCACGAACGATCGAGTTCTCAATCTTGCGCGTCAAACTTGTGCTCCGAGTTTAAAAGTCCCTCAGTGCTCGAATTCGGCAAGCATCATCCATTTCGACAATTTGGTGCAAGTGACCAGGATTAACCCGTTTCGATCATCCGAATGCCTGTGGGACACTCGCCGAACCAAGACGACCGCTTGCTGCGGCACGTTGGGGCAGATCGCGTGCCTCAAGAGCCCGCTCAGGATCTCGCCCCGAGCCTGTCCGTCCTTCGCGGCCGAAGAACTCGAGCCAAAAATGCGCTCCTGGAAGAGATTCGGGCGATCAAGGACATCGATCGAATTACGGATTCGAATAGCCTCGAATTTCTCGGCGCTAAATCCAAGAATCCAGAGCCGCGTTGAAATAATCCGAGCACTCGTGGATCAGATCTGCAGCCATAAATCGCTCCCGGCCAACGATGCTGAGCGTGAAGCCGAAGAGGCTGAGGTTGCAGTCGAAGCCTGTTTGTCGGCGACGGCACTCGTCGATGCTCTAATGGAGCTCCAATCGATAGAGAGCGGCGTCGAGTCGACATTGTCCGGCTCATCGAGCGGGTCGGCTGCCGCCGTCGGTAGTCAAACCCTTCCGCCGGTAGCCGCCGCGAGCGGCGGCGTCGTCGTCAGCGGATCGCTATCGTCTGAGCGATCGGACGGCGGCCTCACGTCAACATCAGCTCGAGAAAATGTCAACAATGGCTCGAATACGGCGAACAAGTGCGCGAACTCAAGACTATTCTTAGACACTGCCCCCGAGGTTTTCGAAGGAAGCATCGCCCGATACAAGCTATGGAAGTCTCAATTCCTAAACTACGTCCGAAGCCGAAGCGAGGCCACAGGTTGCGACAAGTTGGTCGCTATGTGCAAGCTCTTAAGAGGCCCTCCGAAAGATCTCATCTGTGAGCTACCGCTGACCGACAGCAACTACGAGGTAGCTCTCCGACTACTCGATGAGAATTACGACGTTCCGGATCGCCGGCAGCAGGATGTACTCGCCAACGTAGTCAACGTACCAAGTGTTCGTCATGCGTATGATACGGTTGGCTTGCGTGAGTTGTTAAATGTCGTTCAGCGCACTATCCTAGCGCTGGCGACTGTCAATGTACCCTTGCATACGATCGCCCTCACCTACGAACAAACAGTTCGTAGCGCACTCCCAATCTCATTGATCCTAACGTTCGACGATCGTCAGCAGCTCGATGCCGACGTCAGGGGAGACCGAGCAGCAGGATCAGGCTGCCGCAGCGGCTGTGCGTCTGGAGCGATTGCTCTCATTCCTCCGCCGTTACACTGCGCTCCGGGAGAGAGCTTCAACCAAGCAACGGAATAATGTCGGAGACGTCAACGGATTGGGTCTTCACGATCAGAAGCGACCTAAGACGCGCGAAGCCCCCAGATTTCCGCCCCGTCAACAATTTCCGTCTACAGCCGTTGCGACCGCAAGCAAGGGATCTCGGAGGCAGCCAAAGGTTCGGAAGAACCCCTGCTTATTCTGCGGTAGCTCCGAGCATCGTCCCTCAGTTTGCTCAGCGGACCTTCCGGGTCATCGCCGCGTCGAGATACTTAATCAGAAGAAGCGTTGCCCGAAATGCTTCCAATTTCAACACGTATCACCGCGCCAGTGCGACGGCCCGAAGGAGGCCTGCCATAAGTGTGGGAGTAAAGATCATTATACCGTCATGCACAGCCTGGGACCGATTTCATCCGAAGAAACCGCGCGCACTGCCGCG